ACGAAAACATAAACAATAGTCCAAATAAAATATAACTAAGAGTCCAAATAGAAAATAAATAATAAATGGATGTCCGCATCAGAAAGTGAGAGAATAAAGAGAATTGGGAGGAAGAAAATATCATTTTATTCAATATTGAAGTACTATTACAATGCATAAGCCTATATATGTAGGCTTAAGCTAGTCAAATTTAAGACGAAAAATATTATAAAATCTATTAAATAAAATCCTAATTATGTTTCCTAAAATAAGTATTGAATTGGGGAAAGTAAACAACAATCAAATATCAGAAAATTTTTAGATAAAATTTAGTTATGTTTCCTAAATATGTATCTAATTTGAAAAATAAATTTAATAATATCTCTACTAGAATTCCTATCAATTTATTATTATTATATTTTTTTGGCCACAAATTTCTCGTAGTTTGATAAATATAGAAGAAATGGGATTGGTTTAATCATTTCTGGGATTGTAGGGAAAACTATGGTTTATCTTTGTTGATTTATTGCAGTTAGACGAATTTGGAGTACTAGTTTAATGGGTTTGGTTTAATTGTTTATGGTATTACAGGGAAAACTACGATATTGAAATTACTTGGAGGGAAGCATATGGTGGAGCCTGATATGGTGAAGGTGTTAGGAAGATCTGCGTTTCATGACACCGCATTAACGGTTTCAGGGGACCTCTGTTATCTTGGCGGCGAGGTTTTACTTTTCTTGTGCTTTTTAATTATTGTTTTCTAAAAAATTCCACCTGCTTCGAAGAGTTGTGGATGCATCTTCATTTGCGTATGCGTGGTTTCATGATGAAATTTGACCAGTATTTGACTGTGGAATATTTCTTAAATAAAATTTTTAGGTATAAATTGAAGTAATGCAGGGGCCTTCTAAATTAATTCTGTTGGACATTCAGTATTGTGTATTATGGGAATATTTGTTATTACTGGGTTAAGAAAGATTTTTACTGGTTTTTTTATGAAATAGTTGCTTAGATATTTAGTAAGCTCCAGCAAGGGAAAAGAATTTAGTGGCAGTTAGTCATTCCAAATGGGATTATTTTGAAAAATAATCTTTCGCTTTTGATTTATTTATGTAGATTTCATGCATACTTGTTGATGATCTTAATGTGATTGCAAATTCTGAATTCTATTGTAAACGAATTATGAATAATGTTCGTCATGCAACAGTAATTTTGACGAGTAGAAACTTATTTATGTCCAGTGGAGACGAGAAGTTGCTTTTGCTGGGTTTGAGGTTGCAATCCAAATGGATGTTTCTGCTGAGAAAATGATATATGGAGTTGCAGGTGTTGATCCCCGAAGGCGAGATGAACTAATAAAGGTATGACATAAGCATGATTTTTTTCCCCACATATTGAAGACTTAGAAGTGTGTTAAAGTTTGGATTCTTCTTTTATTGCTACAAACGAAACTGATGCCAAATTTGAGCCAATGTGAAACAAGAATGGTGAATGTAGACAAGTGACGTCCAAACTAGTCTTTAAGAGTGTTTCTAATATCAAAATTCTAGAGCCAAGATAGAGGATAAATTGAGGTAAATAAGAATATAATGAGGCACAAATAAGTATCGGCTGATATTGTTGTGCTGCCCAAAAACCATCTTTCCTTTACTCATTATATAAACTGACATTCATAGATGCTTGTTCACTAGAGATTCTACTGTATCACTATATGCAAACAGAGACATTTGGTTGTTAAACCTTACTGTTCGATGCAGTAGATGTAGTAGAGAAAATGTCTAGTGAGCGTGCTTGGAAAAGATGGCAGCTGAGTGGAAGGCAAATATGCCTAGGATGTAGGATCATGGACCACACTTGGGGGCAATTCAATTTAAGGAAACTTGTAGATGAGATCCTCAGCAACTGGACCTCAATCTGGTGGATTTCATACTATGACATTGTTCATAAATTATAACAATTCAAAATTTAGACACACATATTCACCTAACATCGCGAGATGACTGTCTAGCACAAAGTCGAGCTCCAGGTTTTTCATCCTTAATCGCGAGAGAATAGTTGATTCAGTTTTCTCATATTGGAAATAGTATATATAAGTGACTTTCTGTGTGTTCTATTAATTTAGGTTTTAGGTGTTGACCTATCCTGGAGAATGCATAAAGTATCCGATGGTCAAAGGAGGAGAGTTCAAATATGTATGGGTCTTTTAAAGCCATTCAAGGTGTGTATATATGTATATAGCTTTCGGAAAATTTTACCAGTACCATTTATCTTCTTCATTGAGATGTTTTACAAATAAATTGTTATAAATAATGCCTTCTGTGGTCAAGGTTCTTCTGCTTGATGAGATTACCGTTGACCTAGATGTGCTAGCAAGGGCTGATCTTCTAAAATTTCTAAAGAAGGAATGTGATGAACGAGGTGCTACAATTGTCTATGCCACACACATCTTCGATGGTCTTGAGGATTGGCCATCTCATGTTGTGAGTTCTGATTTCAAAGTTCTTTCATATTTCTATTTTTGGCTCGTCTTCTAATTCTAATTTTTGCTGTACTCATTAATTATTTGAGGTTTATGTGGCACATGGAAAGTTGCAATTGGCAATGCCAATGGATCAAGTTAAGGAGAGTAGCAGTTTGTCACTGATGGTCAGTTCCTCCACCTTTGGAAATCAAAATTCTTCATCTAAATACTCAAAACTGCTTGTGCATGTTTGGCTTAGCCTAAAAAAAGTACTAGTACTTAGTGTTTGTTTGGTAAAGCTTTTTGTGAATTATAAGCGGTGGGTCCTATAGAATATGTGGATGGAAGTTGTGGGTTGTGGAAAAAAATGATGTTCGACCAGCTTATAAGCTTGGAAAAGCACTCCCAAACATGTTCTTAAAAATAAGTTTTTTAAGTTTAACCAATCATATATTTAAGCTTTGAAGTTCATTTTTAAAGTGTTGCCAAAAACAGTGAGAGTGACTTTTTGGCTCAAAAGTTTTTACTTTTCCAATTTTTTTCTTTTTTAAGAGGCTTACTAATCATGCCTTAATCATATATATTTTATTAAGTGATTATCTAGGCTAGAACACAGACGATGCTTACTGAATCCCGTTTCTTATTTTGCCTAGTGTCCTTTGTAATAGTCAGCATTACTACTGGTTCGAAATTCTTGTGGTCAGTGCCTTGTTAAATTGGATTTGCAATTTTGCAGAGAACTGTGGAGAGTTGGCTGAGGAAAGAAAGAGATGAGGATCGGAAAAGAAGGAAAGAGAGGAAGGCAAATGGTCTTTCAGAAGATGAGAAACAAGCTGATGGAACTCGCGTTACTGGTGATCCTGCTCGTGCTGCTGTCCGCGCATTGAATAACGGGTGGGCAGCTGGGAGGCTGAATTCAACGATTGCTGGTGAAGAAACCTTCGTCTTTAGCTCGAACAGGGTCCTTAGATAATAGCTAAGTAAACCAAAAAAATATGTGTCAACTCTTTTAAATTTGCTTTTATAAGAGCATCTTCAATAATTGTGTAAAATTGAGTGTAAATTGGTATGTCCAAAATCACTTTTGCATCCTCATTTACATCTCGATAGATTTAAATCCAAATTATGCTCTAATGGAATATCTAAATCCACTTTTACCTCTACATCTTTTTTTT